TGCTATTTTTGATATAATAAACAGAATGTCTAGCAATCAACTCTGGGTAATTAGGATTTAGCATTCTTTGTGTTAAGAAGATTCAAAATCCTTTCATAGCTATTTTGAAATAACAAAGTATTAGCTATAGTTGCCCTGTTGTGCTATAGAATATTGAAAATTATTTCTTCTATCTAACTGAAATTTTGTACCTGTTAAACAGCCTTTATGTGTGCTCATCCCACGTTTTCCAAGTCTCTAGTAAACACTGTTTTACTCTCTGATTCTATGAGGTAGCTTTTCTAGATTCCATACATGAGTGAGAACATGGCAGTATTTTCCCTTCTGTGGTTGGCTTAATTCACTTAATATAATATCCTCAAGGCTCATTCATGTTGCCATAAATGACAGAATTAATGATTATGTCTTTAATTCCAATGCAAGTTAGTCAAAAGCCAAGTCACAAGGTAGCTCTTGAAGTGGGTTTTATAAAGCCTAGGTCAGTCAACAGTGGGGTGGGGCCAGGAGCGTAGAGAACTGTGTTTTGTTTTATCTAATTACCTCCTGTATTCCCACTAGTACTTTTGTATCTGTTAGGTCTAGAGAGGCCTTTTGTGTCTGATCCTTTGTGCTTCCTTAGTTGATAAATCCATAGTTTAACTATGGAAGCCTTAAGGTTTAACGGCGCAAATATGGGGCCTGCACCCTCATCTCCACAGCAGGATAGATGCTGGGTGTTGGGGATTTCTGTCCCAGTTTTGTACTCTTACAGCTTATCTTTGTGTTTTGACTTATTAAAAGCTCTTTGGGTGTTGCATACTTTTTAATGTTCTTATAAGTTTCCTTCTCTGGGTGAAGCACTTTTGTTTTTTTTTTTTTTTTTTTTTTTTTTTTGTCTCTTACATGGTATCAGCTTTCATTTGTGTCGAGTTTTGGTTGTTGGTCCATCTTATCTGTATGAATTGTCCATGGGTAGTCCCAGTTACTTCAATTTGATTTCTTTGAGCCTGAGTTCATTTTGTGTTATCAAGTATCCTTTCATTTTCATCAACATATTTGTATCTTCCTGCCCTTTTTATAGGTTTACTATAGCAGCACACTGCAGGGTTTTTGTTGTTGTTGTTGCTACCTTGAATCTGGAAAGTAAAGCCAAAGAATCTATTTACAAATGCATCAAAATGTTATCAGTGACATTTACCAATTAAAATAGATTTAAGGCAGTATGTGTAAATTTTATATTCATTTATTGAATGTATAAGAATGCCTAGAGTGCTGGAGTGTCTAGCAGAATGTTTTCATAGTTTATGCAAAGCTGTTAGTTTAACTGCCAAGCTGTTCATTTGTGTGTCTGTTTACCTAATCTTTGATTAAATTATCCTATTTTTCAAATATGTGACATACTTGTCTCTTTTGCCTTCATAGTATGGTATGCATGATTTCATCATTAAGAACAATATGATAAAATTGTGTGTTAGAGTCCCCCACCAGAGTATAAATGTTACACGAACAGAAACTATATTTTCCATTATGTGCTTAGTACCAGGTTCAGTGCCTGTTGTAGGGCAGGCTAGCCATTTAATGTTCAGTTGAGCCTAGACTCTCTTCATTTCAGTCGTATAACCTTGTTTAAAGTCCTGCATATAAGCTTGCTTCTTACAGCCCAAAGTGATAGTTTTTTACACTTGTACCTATTCTTTCTTTTTTCACTAAATAATTACACTGGCCAGATTTAATTTAGAAAATTTGTATATTTACACCTTAGAGGATATTTTAATACAATAAGCATTTTAGAGCATGCAACATAGACATAATAACAGTATAATTAATAAAAAAAATTCTATTTAAGGTATCTTAAAAGCTATCTAATTTGGAAATATATTCATTATGGATTTAAATATTGTTTCTTTTTCTTAGTTCATTTCAAGCAAATCAGTTTACTGGAATGGTGTATCAGACAGTGCTACTTCCCCATCGACACTCTTTGAGAACAGGAAGCTTAGATGAATCAATAACTCCCAATACATCACCAGCTCAATGGCCAGGTATAAATAATTTACATACCTAAGAATTATTTCTTAACCTTACGGAAAATGTTAAATAGATAAAAAGGATTAAAAAAAAAAAAGATTTGGCTTGGTTTTACCATATGATAATCATTATTAAATATTGCTAGAATTAATAGTTATAAATTCTTCAGTTAAATTTAATTTAGTAGCAGAAAGCTCTTGTTGCACAAGACCTTTAGCAAATACTTTGCAGTTGTTTTGACTGTATTTCCTTGATCATTATATTTAAATAATCCATGTTTTGTTAAACCATTTTTTATTTTATTTTATTTATTATTTTTAAACAGCATTAAACCATTTCTTAAACAATTTTGCTTTTGTCATAAAAATTATGCTGTTAAAAATATCTAGGAGATTTAACACAAATTGTAGGTGTTCAGTTTATCTGAATTGAGTAGGTAGGCAATTGCTTTTTAACTGTAATAACCTCTACCAGTTATGAATCTAGAGAATAAAATATTTAACGCTGCTACAATAATTTTTTTCAAAAACTGGAAAAAAGGTAACTAATTTTTAAACATAAAAAGTCTGTTGTTTAGTGGCAACTATTTTTGGTTTTTGTTCTAGGAATAACGTGTCTAATTCGTCTTTTGAATTCTTCTGGTGAGGAAGCCCAGTCAGGACTTACGATCTTACTTTGCGAGATTCTCACAGCAGTGTATCTCAGTCTCTTCATCCATGGCCTGGCAACACATTCTAGTAATGAGCTATTTCGGATTGTAGCCCATCCTCTAAATGAAAAAATGTGGTCTGCAGTGTTTGGTGGAGGTGCACATGTTCCCAGCAAAAAACAAACACACTCAAAAATTTTATCCAGTAAGTCCTTCCACTCTCTGTCTCTGTTTCTGTCTCTCATTCTCTTTCTCATATTTTAAAGTCTGGAGCTTTATTCATCTGAATTGTAACTTTGTCAAATGTAATTACATTTTAGATTTGTCACAGAAAGCTCTTACACAAGATCATCAACAAACAGTATTGTGGTAAAAATGAAGTATTAAAAGTTGCTGATGGCAGTTTTCAGTCTTTAAGATACTCCTACACTGATGATTAGATTATGTAATGTAAATTTACTGTCTTTGACTATTAAAATTTTCTTTTCTTTGAAATACTGTAATGTTGGTTTTTATTCTATCCCAAATACAGATTCTCTCTTCTTTCTTTGGCAGGAAGGCACTTTGCTATGCCTAGCCCCCACCAGGTAGTGGTATTCTCCATGGAATGTGTGGGCTTTTCCAAAGCTCTTTCAACCATCAGTTCCCATAGCCCTCCCACTCCTGCAGGCAAGATCTTAGCTTTAGATATAGGATTTTATAATTTAGCTTGCTTTGTGTTGTTTTTGAAGGGTTGGGTAGGTTGGGGTAGTTTTTTTTGTTTGGCATTTATGGAAAATTGATAAATTTTCTTTAACCAAGCCATATTTTTGATTTCAAACAATGATTAGCATTTTAGAAAACTGTGTCTGCTATTTCATTCTGGTTTTATATACTCCCATTTTGAATATTTTGTGTCTCTAAATTTGAACATTTCCAAGTGTGTGAAAACAAAAGAAAATGTTAGTGCTAATCATAAGAAATCATACTATGGTTTGTAGTGACTGGGAAAGCATTTACATAAGTCTGCTCTGCGGTTTGCATATTATGACTGGCCATTAGAATTTTTGGATTTCTAAGTGTTCATAATACCAAGAAAAGTATGTATAACTTTAAACAGTTGTACCTCCATTCATTTTAATGTTAAAACTACATTTACTGTAGTTGAATAAAATTGAAACAACATGCTTTCTCAACTTGAAAAGAATTTTCATGATATTTTCTACCTTCTGTTTTGGTGGCTTATTAACTAACACATATGTGATAATCTTGACTTTCCAATTTTGAGGATTATATGGAATAGATTTAGGACTTCATTTGTAGTACTTGACAGCCAGTTTCATCTCTTCTACCATTGAATAAATAAAAATATTAAGATATATGTAAATTTAAATATGCTAATAAAAATTTGGAAAATTTTTAAAGTGACTATTGAAACGAACCCTTGTGCATACATTTAAGAGAGAAACCCAGCAAGATTATCTATTCACGAATTTAATCCACTTCCCCCTACCATTCACAAGCAACATATACATGTTCTAGTATGTTCCTAGGCCGGGATATTTATGATTTGGAAAATCAGGCGATTAGCAGAGGACTTGACAGAATAAAAGAAAATTGAATTTGAATTTGTTATTTAAGAAAAAAATGCTGCTGAAGTCCGTACCACGATTAAGTAGTCTCTGTGTGAAGCTGTAATAAAGGAAAATGAGAAAAATGACTCCTTTGCTAAAATATTTAAAAATCATCATTAGCAGTATTGGTATACATTATACTTTTCAAAGCAATTTGTACTAAGCCATGCTCCCACACAACAAAAAGTCCCAGTAGCCTATTCTGCACTTTATCACCTTAATTAAAACCGTTTCTCCAAATTTACCTAGTAATCTATTGCTTTTTAATCCTTGTTCCCTTCTGCTTTTCACCCAAGACAAAACAAAAGGGGTGGGGGGATTAAGTCCCTTACATTTTTTTTTAACTTTTGAAACAACTTTATTGAGAATTTCATACATGCATATAAGGTGTTTTGATCAAATCCATGCCCACTCCCTCCCCTCCAACACCTCCCATATCTCCCCATCACTTTTTTCTGACAACATGTACTCTTTCATTCTTTTTTAATGGGGCTTTTTGCTACATTCCTCCCTCTGAAGAGGTAACGCTAAAATCTTTTAGGGATTTGATAAGAGCTTCCAAATACTTTTGATAATTTTGGCCTTTGGAACATAGTATGTTGCTAAGAGGTCCAAGGGCAGTTTGACTTTTAGCAAAGAAACTGGCTACTTTTAAGTCCCTTACATTTAATGATTAGAGTAAAGCAAATTCAGTTCCTAATTTGGAGTAGAGGTCAGCCAACTTTGTTGGTAGAGCTTTTTTGGTGTGTTGCACTATTCATTTCTGCCTTTATACCCCCAAAGCAACTATAAACAAAAAGTGAACAAGTGTGGCTGTATTTCAGTAAAATGGTATTTATAGAAAGAGATTATATTTTGACAACCTCTGAGGTTGAAGTAGTTTGTTGTTGCTTCATTTACATTTACTTCCCTGATTTAAAGAATTTCACAATAATTTAAGAACTAAAGTTACAGGCCTGATATGGCCTTTAGATTGGATCTCTCATGATATTTGATCCAGTCTCACAGTGATGCATGTGAAATAAGGCAGATAGCATCAGAGTAATCTGTAATCCTCCCTGCCATGGCCCCTAACTTCTTTGAAGTTCCGGGGCTAATACACAGTTCTCCCCTGAAATGTACAAAGCTAACATGGCCGTTCCTCCAGCTTCATACTGTCTTGCTGGCATTTTTGTACCTGCCACACATGCCTCACTAATCACTGTTTTAGCTCTCTGTTTGTTGACCTTTGCTCTAAATTGAACTGATTTCCTTTTACTTTTCGCTTCATAAACTTCAAATTTAAATGCAAATTTACCTTTGTATATTCAAATACTAATTATTTTAATTTTCAAAATATTTTAATAGTTTTTAAGGAGTTATTTCCTGTGATGTATTTTTTGGGTCAATTATTTTTTAAAAAACAAAAAACTGTGTGATATTTCAGATACCCATGTTCAAGAAAAATTTTCAGACCTAATAGGGGTAAGGTTCATAGGTATATTGAGTTAATAATTAAATAGTTGATAAATTAATTTTGGCCTTGTTTTTAATGTTTTCAGATAAACTGTTTAAGACCTTAATCTTGTTGCTGGGAAATGTTAAAAACGATATAGTCTGCTAAGCAATGTTAACATACATTTTTTAAAATGAAAACTATATTACTAACCTGGTCTCATTCCTAACTTTTTCTGTGATGCTAAAAATCGAAATCATAGCCATGCATGTATTAGGCAAATTCCTACCACTTAGCCCAATCACTAGCCCCAGATCTGCTAATTTATTCTGAGCACAGATAAATATAAAGAGCATAGATCAAAGTTCAAGATTGATTTGTTTGTAGGCAAAAATATCATTGTATAGTTATCTTTCAAGCACCCTTATAAGTATGTTTGTAAATGATAATCTAGTCATTTACTGAATCTCAGATAATAAAACAAATTAAATAATGAAAAATTATCTGCATCTTCATGTTTAACATCTTGGTTTGGGGGCATGATAACCAAATAATATAGACTGTTTGAACATGATGTCTTTGGTAGGGCTAGATATGCATCCAAGTTATGTGGTACTCATCTGCCTTTGAGAACTCAGAAACCTTTCTGAATATGGTCATGGAAGTAACAATAAGTGCACTTAGAGAATATATGGTGTGATTTATCAGCTGATGAAGCCAAAGGCTTTTTATTTCAAAGCTGAACTATGATTCTAGATCTCCTAGAGTTGACAATTAGCACTAACCATCACAATGATAAAAATAATGTATTTCATAAAGTAGATATGAATTCAGTCAAAAAGCATATATTTTTAAATTTTATTTAGCCAAATGGAAACTGCAGTGTCTAGAATATTTTCCTAACCTAATCAATATCAAAGTTTTATATACTGAGATACTTGTTTAGGACCCCTAAACCAGTTTTTCTTTAAAAAAAAAGAAAAAGTTTTCAAAAAGTTAATACTAGGAAAGGCATTTGACAGTCAGTATTTGTGTTTCTTATTCTAGCATAAATTCTCATCTGGGTTTTTTAATTTTTATTTTTTGTGTATGAATGTTTTGCCTGGAGATATATATATATATGATATATATGGCACCCATGTGTGCAGTTACTGCTGAGGCCAAAGGAAGTAGACAGATCTCCTGGTGGATGGTTGTTAGACCGAACCTGAGTCTGCTGCAAGAGCAGCCAGTGCTCTTAACTGCTGAGCCATTTCTCCAGCCTATCTTAAATTTTTTTAAAATAGTAGCCTTCTGAACTGAATTACTTTTATCTGTGCATGTCCTTTATTTACTTAATGTTCACATTCTTTTAGTAACAGTTCTAGTTTGCCTTTTGTTGGTGTGATTAAAAACGACTCTGACCAAAAGCAACTTGGGGAGAAAGGGGTTTATTTGGCTTGCACTTCCAGATCATAGTCCATTATTGAGAAAAGTAAAGACAGGAACCCGGAGGCAGGAATCATAAAGGAATGCTTCTTACTGGTTTGCTACCTGATTTATGCTCAGCTAGCTTTTTTCTAGAGCCCAGGTCCACCTGCCTAGGGATGATACCATCAATAGTGGGCTAGGCCCTCCCACATCAATTCAGTTAAAACAATCTCTCACAAACACAGACCAGTCTGATTTGAGAAATCCCTCAACTGAGGTTCCTTCTTTCCAGGTGACTGGGTTATGTAAAATTGACAATAAAAACAAACCAGCAGAGGGCTCAGTGGTTAAGAGCACTGGCTACACTTGGAGAGGACCTTAGTTTGGTTCCCAGCACCCACATGGTACCGAACAAGAATTCCTAATTCCAGTTCCATGGGGTCTGAAGCCCTCTTATGGCTTCTGTGGGTATTGCATGCACTTGGTGCATTGCCTACATGAAGGCAAAAAAACCACTTACATACAATGTAAAAATTAATAAAAAATAATAACCAAAGTGACATAATATTTAAGCCTTACAGTTTAAAACAATGATTATTTATTATCAGACTGTAGCTTAGCAGTCCAGAATTCTTAACAAAATGTTAATAATGTATATAACTTAGAAATTTTTTAATAAAGCAAATTTCATTTACTTTGTGAGTTCTATATCACATATTAATGAAGACTTCGATTTTTTAATTAAATTATAATGGTACATGTTCATAGTGTTTGAAATTATTTTGTTATGATTGTTTAGGTTGAGTTAGCTAAGCAAGAGCAATTTTTGAAAATTCTTTTTCAACAGTTAGAAATCCATACTTTTGCTTTTTATTGTACTGTAAAGCAAAGCAATATTTTACTTTAAGAATTTTATTGCATTTTATAAGCATATCTGCACTAAGACCTATGAAGTTTGTCTTTATGTTAATAAATTTATTTAAGATTTTATCTACAAATTGTGGAATGAAATATGAAGTGAATATTGTGGTGAGCATGTCATGTCTATTACTGTGAGACTGCCAATGATACTTTAATTTTAATTGTCTTTAGTATTATTTATGCTAAGTATAGATCAGAAAATCCAAATACGCTGTATTGTAGAACTTGTATAAAAAGCTCCATGTTGATTATTTAGTGATTATCGCATGCTGTTGCCATCATTCCTTTTG